GATGGAGGAACAAGAGGAACATGTGAATTACGCGGAGGAGGAGAAGGCGGATGCGGATAAGGAGGATCTCGTCTTCCCTGAGTGTGTGGGTGCTTCCCTCTGGGCCAGCTGCTTGAGACACGCGCGACTAATTCGCGACGGGGGAGATATCATCGTGCTCCGTTTCCGTGGCGAAGAAGGTGGATAACATTATGTCCTGGAAGGGCCTGTCCCAAAGGAGTGGGTCGCCCCTGCCCCGATCTAGGTCACAGCTGCTCACGAGACTTCATGGGTAACTGCTCGGTTGATCAAGATTTCTGCGGGGATGTATGCAACGTTCGGTTTACGACTGGCGCCGCATCGGGTTCGCAAACTAACCACTGAACCTCGATGCAGCCTTTGTATATGACTGCCTTACTTCTGTCTGCTCACTTATATACAGACCCATTCATGGATGATATCCATCTCGTGTGCTCAATACCACCGCATATCTACGTGCATTGCAGACACATGTTGATATATGGGTGAACGTAGCCTATAGATATGTAGATCTTCAAGGGAGGAAAAACCACCGGGACCGGACAATTGGCGTTTACGAAGCTGTCCTGGGCGTTTGCTAAACAGCCCTGCCTTGTTTGATTCCTTCTGTGGGTGCGGTTACTGAACGGCTTCTCGTGCCGGGGTGGTTATTCTCCGGGTGGACTGTCTGCCCTCTTTGTTTTTTTTCTGCCACACCGCATCGTTCGAAGAAACAAACAGCTAAACTGATTAGCCCATTCTCTCTCAAAACCGGCCGATGCTTGTGGAGGTGCTTCTGCTTAGGAGCGACCGTGACCAGTCACCGCGGGAGGCGCGGCAGGGGTGGTGTGGGGCCCGAGGCTCCACCCAGTGGAGGCGGGCAGGCCCAGAGCTCCCTCCGTCCCACCACCCTGGGAACTAGACGTGCGCGCACGGTTCCACAAAAAATCATTCGTGCAACTGCCATGGGAAGGGAGAGGGCGAGAGGAGCGAGGGAGGGACGACAGGACGACAGCAGAAGGGACCGTTCAAACGCAATCGAGCCAAAAAGTTATAGTTAAACACTGCATATAATTGCGCTCGCGTTTGAAAGGTCGAAGCCTGGAGCTAAAAACTTCTAGCGCGGCCTCCGGCCACGGGCCTGAGGGAAGATACAAATCCAAGCAATTGTTGTATCATCGGACGCTCCCACTACTTCGGCTCATCCGCGTCCGCCTTCGAGAAGCCCAGCTGGAGAAGTTTCTCCTGGTCCCCTTTGGGGGCCGGGCCCGGCTGCTCAACGCACTGATCTTTTTCGAGACCAGCGCGAAAAATCGTTTCAATCTTCACGAGACTAGGGCAGAGGTGGAGATACAGGCGCTTGAATTCTTTATTGTGCATACGCTCAAGGAGGCAACATTTCACGACATGGTTCAGCACTTTGGAGTCGGGCGGGTGCGCCTTCAGAAACTCTTCGGCGAGGTCCTTGGCCTCTCCCACCAAATTCGGCATGATGGCCATCAGGGCGCCGCTGAAACGACGACCATCCGGAACGAGGCCGTGCCCCTTCTTGCCTTTGACCTCCACTTCAAAATTGTCAGTGATTGTCTTCATCGCCACGTACATGGCGCTGGACACCGGCATTTTGAAGCAACGGAACACGGCACCGAGAAGCGTCCTGTTGTCCATGCCTTCAGCCCCAATTTGACACCAACAGCTGCCAACTCACGCGCCTCAGTGTCCTCATTCGCGCCTTTGACCTTCTTGGCTGCTTGCCCCGTCGCCTCAGGTGCCTCGGTCTGCACCTTGGCCAGGAAAGCCTGCCACTGCTCCATCACAGCGTCACTAAAAGATCGGGCGGCACGTGCACGGCAAAGTGGGTGTTGGCCGCTTGAATTGAGTCAAACGATACATCACAGACCAAACAATGGTACGGAGGCGACGTGATGTGATCACGCACTGTGGTGCTGCCCTCGGGTCTGGCGCACCACCCCCTGAAAAAAGACCGCTGCACATGATTCTGGGCACTCGCCACCGATGCGAAGAAAGCGCCACACAAAATGCACTGATTCGACACCGTGAGTGCGCGTGACAAAATCCTACGCCCATGCTCACCGCTCATAGTTTGGTGCGTTCTGAGCCCGCGGCGAGTGAAACAAGCCACACTTCGTGCCATCTCGTTTCAACAGCTGGCATTCGTGCAACATTCCCTCGACTCCTGCATGTGTTGGGGGGGGCTCCACCCATTCAGGAGGGAGGATCGCAACACCGAGCGCCGCCGCCGCGAGTTCGTGCGGATCAGCTCGCAACAATCGTTCTCGCGCATCTGGGTCTGTGAAAAAAAGCCGCGGATCGGTACATGCATCCTCGCGGTCTGCCTGGATCGGCCCGATTCGCGCGAGCAGATCAAGATCATCGCACAATCTCTTCAGAGCTGGGTGGGCTGTGCTGGCAACGGTCCCCGTCGCAGTCCAATTCTTTAGCTTCTGACCTGGGAAATCAGCAAACATGGCCGCAATGGCTTGCAAATGCTCTTCAGGAAAACGGACCCACTGCTGAAACCACATCAACCGATAGATAGCCAATTGGGTGCGAGCGGAAACCATTTTGAGCTCTTGTCGCACTCGGGCATTCGTCCATGCTTTGACATGGCCGTTCGATTCTTCCTTCGCCTTGCCGCACAGTACTTTCCGTGCGTACTGGTGCCGCGCAGCGTCCAATGCAATACAATCACATTCGTGCAGACAGAAACACTTCAGAGCATTGAGACCGACTTCCAAGACAATCGCCCGAAAAAACAATTCGTTTTTGGGCCAGGTCCGCGCCGCTGCGCCAGAAACCGCCAAAAGAAAAATAAGCCTCTCGCGTAGCCATTTTGGTTCAAGGCTCGAGCACAAGGCAACAGCGTCCCCGCCCCAAGCTGTATTTGCGGAGATGTCTGGTGCAATTGCCAGCTTGCCCCGATGAGCAGACCAGCCCCACCCGCCAACTCGCATCGCCACAAATTCATACAGTACAACTGCCAATCCGCCTTAGAGACAGGGCGCTTGCACGACTTCGCGAGGGAGTTTGGACACGCCGCATGCGTCGGCCTCAGCGGGACCTGCATCAAGACCGACGCGCCCTGTGAGAAGGTAACAGTAGGCAAGTTCCACGTATACCAGTGGGGGCGGGTTGCAAGGAATACGGGGGTGTCGATAATGGTGCATAGCAGTCTTTTCCCTCCCAAGGCGCTCAGACAGATCTATACTTTCAAACTCGCGTTGAAGGGTCGGATCGGAGCCTTACGCTTCAAGACGAAGTTCTACGACACAGTTCTCATCTCTGCCTACGCCCCGGTGGAGCCACAAAATGCCCATGACCTGGAAAAAGCAAAAGCGTTCTGGAAAGAGCTCCTTGTCTTCATCAACCGCCTGCCGAACCTCGGCCACGTGCTCATCGGTAGGCCGGTACTTGGGGCCACTCTTGCACTTCAAGGGGAGAGTCGGGCCTGTCTGCCCTCTGGATATGGACATCGGATATTCGGGGTGGAAGCGGGTTGACCCCAACCGGGTCGTCGTGCCGCGCGTGTGGGGAGTCGAAGCTGCGTGAGGGCGACGGCTTGTCGGCGCAGGCAGGGCCACGTGGAGAAGACATGCTCTCTGTGCGTCCAAAGGTAGCTCGCCCCGGTTGTCCCGTGGTGTTCTTGTGTCTCCCGGCTGCTTTTCCCGAGACTGTTCTGTCGTTGTTTTTTGCCCCGTGGTCTGTCACCTGGGTTTCCCCTTGGGTTTTCTCGTGGCGTGTGCCTCTGGGTTGCCCCGGGGTCCCCCATGGAGAGGCCCCCCGGGCTTCCCGTGGGTTCTCCCCGTAGATTTCTCGCGGTGGTTCCATTGTTTCGTGGGTTGTCCCGGCTTGTTCCATGGTTGTCCCGTCGGTTGTTCTGCGTTTGTCTTAATGGTTATCCCGTGGTGGTTGCCCTGGGAGAAATGAGCACCGAATTGTTACCAGCGAAAATGCAAGTCAAAATGTAAGTCGGACTGCAAGCGAATAGCAAATCGACACGCGCAACACTAAACACATGTCAAGCTGCAATCGATATGTAAGGCGCGTTCCAGCTCCAGCTGCAATCGCAATACACTTGGAGATGTACAGCAACATGCAAATATGACGGCAGGTACTTCGGATGCAACTATGCGTGCAAAGCAACGTGCACAATAATCTGCAGTCTAGAATTGGCACTCGAGATACAGATCGAAGTGCACATGGATAAGAAGATCGAAGCGATCACACCGCCATCATCACTGACATCCACTTGTAATCGAAGTGCAGTCGAACTGCACACGCAATTTGAGATGGTTGCAATCGGAATTCACGTCGAAATTGTCAGTCACGCGCAATTCCAAGAGCAAGCGATGCGCACATTTAGGTGCACACCGAATTGCAAATCGAGACATGGATCAAATGCTACGGCGAGAGTTCAAGCGGAATGGTAACTCCAACGTAATTGTCAAAGGCGAATCGAGTGGAATGTAAATCTGGAACTTTTCGCTTTCAAATGCACACCGGTCGCATATTGGATGCAAATCTCCAATTGCCATGGGAATGCATATCTAGCTGCACATCGACCTACAATTCAACATAGGCATCGAACTGCACTTTGTACGGAAGATCGTATTGAGATCGTTCGGAGCATCCAATTCTAATCGGCATTCGCATCAACGACAATCAATTTCAACGCGATCGGAACACAATTTGCTAGTTATCGATGGTGGGGTATGTGATGTGACGCGGTAAGAAAGTTTGCCCTTATGTACACATTGAAAGACCCACCAGTTGTTTTCAACATTGATCATCATATATTCCAGATCTATGGTTGCTGTACAAGTCCACCCGGGGTGTCTTTCGGTTGAGGCACATCACACGCACACGCACACATAGAGAGAGAGAGAGAGAGATGCGCGCACACACACACACACTCACACACACACACACACACATGTCCCCGGCCTTTTCCCCAGATCGGCTCGGCTCGCCCCGCCGCGCAGGGGAGGAAGAAGCTCGATCTGGAGGTTGGGAAGGACCGCGGAGCCCCGCCCGCGCGGCGGCGGCGGGCGCCGCAGACGCCGAGCGAGGGCGCGGGGCCGGCCGCCTGGAGGAGGAGCAGGAGGAGGAGGAGGAGGAGGAGGAGGAGGAGGAGCAGGAGAAGCAGCAGGAGCAGGAGCAGGAGCAGGAGCATGATGATGATGAGGAGGAGGAGGAGGAGGAGGAGGAGGAGGAGGAGGAGCAGGAGGAGCAGGAGCAGAGGGAGCAGGAGCAGGCGGAGCAGGAGGAGGAGGAGGAGGAACAGGAGGAGGAGGAGGAGGAGGAGGAGGATGAGGAAGAGGAGGAGGGGGAGGAGCGCACGCGAGGCGAGGCGACACGCGGAGGGAAGCCGTGGCCTCGCCGGCTTGCCGCCGCCGCCCCGTGCGAGGTGCAGGGGAGGAGGAGGGGGCAGGAGGAGGCCGAGGAGGGAGGAGGGGGGAGGCAGGAGGCTGAGGAGAGAGGAGGGAGGAGGCAGGAGGGAGGAGGGGAGAGGGGGGAGGCAGGAGGCCGAGGAGAGAGGAGGGAGGAGGCAGGAGAGAGGAGGGAGGAGGCAGGAGGCAGAAGGAGGCCGAGGAGAGAGGAGGGAGGAGGGAGGAGGGAGGAAGAGGGCTTCGTCTGGTGCGTCGTGCAGGCGGTGGGCGCTCCGGATTTTTTCTTCCGGCGGTTGCAGCAGAGGGGCGACGACGACGACGCAGACGAAGACGAGGGCGAAGAGGCCTCGTTTCCGCCGTTTTTGGCATCCTGGGAGGCCCCCGTCGCCACCGCCAGATTCGCCTCGAAGTTCAGGCCAGAACGCATCCCAGGAGAGGTCCGCGGAGTAGCTGTATATTGTTTCATTTTGGTTCCCCCACGGGTAGCAGGCGCACCGTCGTTGGTGCGCGGGCCCCACGAGGGACCAGAATGCAGAAGTGTTTGGCCAAGCGTTTTCGCGCGTGCTGCATCCCTCGCGTCCAGGTCTGCAGCAAGTAGGGACTACGATGTGCGCGAGGCGAGGGGCGGAGAGAGAGAGAGAGAGGGAGATCGAAGGAGAGGGAGGGAGAGAGAGCCCCCCGGCGCGTCCTGTCGGGCGTCCCACGGCACTGCGCCACTGGGCGCGCCCCCCTGGCACGCCCAGTGGCGCTCCCCCGGCAGGCCCACGGCACGTCCACCGAGACGTCTTGGCATCGCTCGAGCGTCTACACTTTTCTCGGCGAGCCCAGCGTCCCCGAAACCTGGAGCAGGGCTCGCTTCGATTCCTCCGATTCGATTCGATTCGATTTCGATGGATTCCGATTCCGAATCGATGCGACTTGGGATTCCGATTTGGGTTCCGATTTCTCATTGGAGGCCTACTAGCCTGCCGATTTCCGCCGATTCGACGTTTTCCGACTCGGCGGCCGATTTCCGCCGATCCGATTCATTTTTGATCGCCGATTCGACTTGTCGATTCGATTCTGGGCTCTCCTGCCTGGAGCATCTGGGAGCATTCTGGATCATCTCTCGGAAACAAAAAAACGCGGCGAAGCCGAACACAGCACGGGGAGTGCGCGCCCGAGCGGTGCCAAGCCGTCCCCGCTGGCACGTCCCCTGGCACGTTCCCTGGCGAATCCCATGGCGCGCCCCCAGCAAGTCCTTCGGCGTTTCCATGCGCCCCGCGCCCTTTGTCGGTTCTCTCCGTTTCGGGATTGAGTCGGATTTGAAGGTCCAGTTGGTTGAGCGCCCCGCATGTTTCGACTGCGACCAGCTCTGGATCCATACCAGTTCGACCAGGATTCGGTCGCCAAGGACGACCGGATTTTTTGCGCAAGTGCAACACCATTCAACATTTTGTGGAACAGCATTGTTCAGCACCGCACACGACGGTATAATGCACCACGGCACCGTACATTCCCTGAGACTTCGCCATCATTCTAGATATCCTCAGTTGCGAATTGCCCATGAGGACGTTTCTATTGGCCTTCGGACGACCCCGCTGCCGTGCCTGGGTTGCGAGTGAGAGGCCTCTTGTATGTTCGTTAGGATCTCGTGGAGGGCCTCTCGGGGGCCTCCTGGAGGCAGTTTTGAAGACTCTGGGGCGCTGTTTTGTGGCCGTTCGGGGTATTGTTTGGTTCTCTTGGGGGCCTGTTGGGGTCTCGTGGGGCCTCTTGGGGGCCTCTTGGGGGCTCCGCGAGGCCTCATTGGGGCCCCTCGGGGCCGAGGGCTCGAAATGTCCGTTCGGGTCCCCCGTCTGGGCCCCCTCTTGGGGCCGTCTCGGAGGCCTTTGGGGCCGTCCTGGGTCGATCTTGGGGGCTGCTGAAGCCGACTTGGAGCGTCGGGGAGCCGACGAGGCGATAACGCCAACATTTACCAAACACCCACGGAAAGGGAAACGCTTGTGGTCTCTTTGGGTCCTCTCGGAAGGCCTCTTGGAGGCCTCTTCGGGCGTCTTGGGGGCCTCTTGGGTTGTCTTGAGGAGATCTTGTGCGTCGTGGAGCGATCTTTTGGCGACTCGGGCCCCTCTTGGACCGCCAGGAAGCCCTCCCGGGACCCCTGTGGACCTGTCTTGGGACCTCCTGGGATCCGAACGAGTCGCGCGGGGGGATGCCCGGGAGTCCCCGAGAGCCACGCGGCGCGCCCCGTCCGATCTGGGAACTGCGGGTCCGGGCCCCTCTTCAAAAGAGATCTCAGGATGGAGGACAAAGGTTCCAGGGCATCCAAGAAGGGGACCTGAGGACATTCCAACTCGCGCCTCAAGGGCACGGCGGCGGACAGAGCTACTTCTCCAGGTCCATGGCTCAACAGCATACCGAAGGGGTTTCGGGTCAGGGAGTGTCCGTTGTAGAAATATGTGTGGTTTCCCCGCCCTTGTCTCCATTGCATCCTTGTGTTCCCCTTCCTTGTGCAGTGTTGCTTTTAGGTTCGTTCATTTTCACTCGGGGTCAGGAACGCCCCCTGCAGGTACAAAGCAGACCAGGAGGGCAAGTGTGAAGAGGCGGAGAGGGGGGGACGCGGACGAAGGAAAAGGAGGAGGAGAAACAGCAGAAGAGCAGGATGGATAGGTGCAAGATGACGAGACAGACTCTCTCGAAGGAGGAGCCGGAGGAGGAGCCGGAGGAGGAGGAGGAGGAGGAGCAGGAGGAGGAGGAGGAGGAGACCGAGTGGTTGAGATGTTGGTGGCTCTCCCCGTTGGTTCGGCTGTTGCGTCGCGCCGCTTTGCCGCCGAGGACTTCACTGGGCGGATAAAGCTGGACGCTTGCCCGGCCGGGGGGCTGGCTCCACCTGGGGACGCCACCAACAGTCAAAGCGCCTGTTCTTGGCTGGAGCATGTTCGTCAGGTGCCGAATCCTTGACTCCTCGGCTCATGCCTTACGCTGCATATTTGCCGGGTCTCGTCTGTCCCCCAAAATTGGTGTCTTCTCTTGTGCCCGACGTAGGCTCGATGCGGATTCGACGCGGTTTCGACGCGGATCTGGCGTGGATGCGACGCCTGTTCGACATGCATTCGACGCTGAATCGACGAGTCCGAAATGGATTCGGCGCGGATTCGACGCGGATAGGGGCGCGACAAGGTCCCCCCGAAGTTGCAACGCAGTATCCTTGGATGGTTTTGGCTTCTGGTGCCTGCTGCATCGACGCCCAAGGGTCTCGTTCCGTCTTTGGCACTCCCAGCCCTGGGGCGACGGGATCTACACGTGTCTGCCGCCCCTTGACAGACCCATCCTGGGCCCACCAGGGGCGGTGAAGATGCTTCATCCCGAGCCGATCTTGACGGCCACGCGGCCCAGCGAGGCGGCGCGGCCCCGGCCCGTTGTGCCTCCAGCTGTTCGCACCAGTGTGGAGCCGCTGGGGCCCTCTGGTCCTCGTGATGATGGGCCTGTTTCCCACCACCTCACTGGTCCGAAAGATACCCGTACCCGGGGCCAGCCAAGGTGAGATGGGCCGTCCGGGGGAGCGGGCGCTTGCTATTGTGCCCGGTCAGCTTGCCCCGCGCGCGCCAGTGCAGCATCCGCGCGTCAAGACGCAACGGCGCGCTCGATGGTTGGGTGTCTGATTGCAGCGACAAGCGCTGGTTTTTGTTAGGGACGTCTCGGGGCATCGTGGTGCGCGCGCGGCTCAAAGCCGCCCATATGTGGTGGCGCCTGTCCCAATCGATAAAGAGTTGCATGTCCTCGCTATCCTGGCAAACAACGCGTCTGGGCCTGCCCTGAGGAACGACGTAGCAACGTCGCGCCCCCAGGGGGCCGCAGCGGCCACGTCGGGGACGGCTCTGGCGGGCATGATATGTGCTCGAGAGCGTTTTGGGCCTGCCGCCACTTCGGCTAGGTACGGGGACCTGCCTGACACCACCGAAACATACCCGGACCTAGCTGGGGTGGAGCTGCGGCACCCCGGGTAGGTACGGGTATGTTTTTTTGTTTTCATGGGGCAACCGCACCTAGCTGGGGTGATCCGCGGACGGCCGTCCAAGGGGGGCGGCTTCTGGCGACCTCGCCCAGGGCACATATTCGCGATGTCTCTGCATCGAGCAATTCGCGACAGGGCGGTTGTCGCGCAATGGCGTTCGCGCCAGAGTTGTTCGCATGCGCCCCCGAGTGCGCGTTGACTCCTCAACGCCGGGATGTGCGTCTGGGGGCGCGCCTCCGCAGCAGCTGGTCTACATCGACAACAACCAACGCAGGGATGGGCACTCCGCCGACTCGAACGCACGTGCGATCGGTGCTAACGTGCGCCCCGAGAAGGCACCGGTCTGTAATGCTCGATCGGCTGTCGTTTCTACACTTGTGCGGCCGCCGTCAGCTGCGACGAACCGCCCCCCCGGCCCCTTGCCACCCTGTCTAGGTAAGGGTACGGGTATCTTTCGCGCTCGAGACCACCACCATGAGTTGGAGCGGGAGGGGGCCCTCCTCCTCCTCATTCCTTTCGTCCTCCTCTTCCTCCTCGTCCTCCACCTCCTTCCCCCCTCCAGCTTATGGTCGTGGTGGCGGATAACGAGCCCAACATCGTGAGGGGTGCTCTGGAGGCAGTAGGGGCCTCCTTGGAAAGCCTTGGGGCACCTTGGGCCAGGAGCACTTCTGGCAGCACCCGGCCGCATCCATCACCGGGCGCGTTCCACTACCCGGAAAATGCCTATTCGCAAACGTCCCAACGACACACATGCCTGCTTCGATGTCATGTAATTCATCGCAGATCCCCCGCGGCGGATCCAGGCGATTCGCGAGTAGCTACCCTGCGAGCAGTGGAACGCGTGGTCTAATCCAGAGCCTCGACCCCGGTTTTCTGGACGCCCGAAATGGGTACGGAAAGAATGGGTACAATGCCCAACAGCAATTCTTGTTCATTTTGAACAGGATTCGCTGTCCGCGCCGCCAAGGCCTGTGTCCGTTCGAGAGAAGGCCGCCTGCCCAACAGCGGCCGCTGTTGGTTCAGGACAACATTTGCGTCATCGTCTCGCCGCCCCCTGGTGGAGCCCCAACCGGTGTGGCGACCTCGCCGTGTGTCAGAGGACGAGAGCCCCGACCCCTTCGGGTCATGAACAGAAACACTACGGAGTTTGTTTTTTTCCTCATGTTCGGCCCTCGGGGGCCATCGCCAGGCCTCGGGGCCGTCAAATAACGAGTCGGAATAGGTAGAGATTTCTGGGTGTTGTCGTTATGAGCAAGAATCATCACGTCGGGGCATTGGGTAGATACCAGTATTGCCCTTTTAGTCCTAGCGAACCCTCATTTTAGTCCTAGCGAGCCCTCGTCGCCACGGCTGGACTCTCAATGAGATCTTAGTCAGAACGCACCCCAGGAGAGAGAGGTCGGTTTAATTGCGCTAGCGGTGCCTCTTTGTTCCCCCAGTGTGGTGAGTCAGTGGGGGTATGGGGGTCATCTCGCGTTTTGGGGCCCGGGGGGTCGTTCACCAGAGGCGTCTTGGACAACGGGGGCCCTCAGGGTGCCAGCACCGAGTGGTGACGGCCCGTGCTTAGAGGCTGTCGGGGACTCGAGATCATCGCACGGTCTGTCCCCACACCGTCTTGGCGACCCCCGAAGCTTGGAGGGTGGTGCCCCAGGGACTGTTCGGCTCGTGGGCGGGGGATGGGGGCCGGGGGCCACGCTCGGGGGAGACAGGCTACGACCTGGGGAGAGCATCGATCTCCAACCGGACCCCGATCGCCTCCGGGGGGCTGGGCAGCCTGCCCCGCTCGGGGGCGTGCAGATCTGCCATCGGGGGTCTACCGGCGATCGATTGGCGCGGCCAAACAACACAAACGACGCCGCCCCGCCTGCGGCCTGCCATGCTGCGCTGCGGCCCCTCGGGGGCCGCAGCGCATGCCCTGCAAACACCCACGCCAGGCGTCCTGGTGTTACGCTGCGGCCCGTGGGGCCGTAGGTGTGGTGGTGGCGTTCGTTTTCTGGCCCGTTGGCGACGGCCTCGCCGATCCGAGCTCGACGCTTCCGCCCTGAGCCGATTCCCCCCCTGTGGCGGCGGTGTGGCTGAGAGGCCCCCCCTCGGGCTCCAGGGCGAGGTTGTGGGGGGGGTGCATCGCGGTCGAAATGGCTCGGAGCATATCCTCCGTATCCTCCTCCCTCTCTCGTCGTCGTCGTCGTCGTCGTCGACGACGTCGTCACGATCGGCATTCTCTCCGTGCTTGACATGTAGTATCCTTGCGTCTGAGGGTTCTTGAGCAGGAGAGGCTGTGACGGTTAGGGGGGCTGAGGAGTGCGGCTGACTCCCCGGTCTTGCAATTTGCGGTTGGGTTGGGGAAGACGGCAGACGAATTTGTCGTTGACATGATGCATGCAGGACGTACGGACGAGGTCGGGTGAGACGTTGGTCCAGGGGGTCTATCCCTCCTCTTGGGTCCGCACCTCACTTCTCCCGTTGGCATTTTCCTTCCGCATGTCGTTCGGGGCTGACCGACGTACGCACTGCCGAGGGGCAGGTATGGGGGAAGGAAGAGCATGCAGCAGCGGCATTGACGGGCCGGCATTTTCCTCCTTTCTGCCTCCTCCCCACCACTCACGTCCCATCGTTCTTCCATCTTGCTCCTCCCATTCCCCTCCTCTCGTTCCTTCGCTGCGTCTCTCCCTCGGCCTTTCACCTCCGCCCTTCCTCCCGCCTTCTTCCCCCCTCCCTCGCCCTTCTCGCTTCCCCTGCTTCCCTCCCTCCTGCCTCCCGCCTCCGTCCCTTCTCTTGCCGGGTATCGCCAGGACCCCAGGTAAGGGGACCCGGTTAGTGGTAGGGCCTCGGAACCTCTAAATTGGCAAGAATCACTAAACCAGGTCTGCCGTAGCTGGTGTTTTTCGGGTGACGGCAGTTCCGGTTAGCGGAAATGGGACGGGGGGGCCTCCCCCAGTACGCATCACTAAACCAGGCTCCACTAAACCCAGTTCTGCCAACGCCCGATGCTTCCCTCCCTCCTGCCTCCCCGCCTCCGTCCCTTCTCTTCTCCTCCTCCGCCCCCCATCCTCCTCCCTCCCTCCTCCGTGTTCCGTCTTCCGTCCCACGCAGTTTTGTCGACGGTCCCAGGGCCCATTTTCTTCCTCCTCTTCTTTCTCTTCCTCTTCCTCCTCCTCGTCCTCCTCTTCCCTCCTCCTCCTCCTCCTCCTCCTCCTCTTCCATCCTCGTCATCCTCGTCCTTCTCTTCCCTCCTCCTCCTCCTCCTCATCCAGGGAGATTGTCCAGAGGCCGAAGGCCGTCAAAAACTTCCCCTCGTGATGCCTGCCCACTCACACCGAGAGCCGCCCTCCTCCCTCGCTTCTCATCGGGGTTGTGTTGCTCCCATCGTTCTTGAGGACCACATCCCCGAAATAGTTCCGATCACCCAGAAACAGTGTCGAAACAGTGTCGAACGAGTATCGTCTCCCAGGGCCTCGAAACACGTGACAATTTTTGAACTTCTGTATTTTCATAACCTTGCGGGTTGATTACATTACATCTCTGGGGGACCTTTGTCTGTCCTGTCAACTGCGAGTTTTTGACATCAGACGCATGGATCCGTACACTGCGAGATTCGCAGTCTAGTCGGCGTTACGGCGCAGATTCGACGTGGAGTTGACGCAGATTCGACGCGCTCGACACGGATGCAACACGGATTCGACGCGGATCGCCGCGCGGCGGGGACGACGAGGTCCCCGGAAGATGCAGACATCAACCGATATGATTGTTCCACATCCGCCGAGATGCACTCCAGGCGGGTCAGGCGATGTCCCCGCACATAAGGGGGGGAGCCCAGACATCCTCCGATCTGATTTGTCCAACCCGCGGCCCCAAGGAGCTCCCGACCCCTCCCATGGGGATGCTTTTTCGTCCCGGGTCCACTCCAGATGGCCCCTGGGTTCGACCATGGGCCGCAGAGGCCCAGATCGAGGAGAAATCGCTGTGAGGTCGAGGAGAAATCGCTGGATTGAACAAGTCCTGCCATGGGGGATTAGGGAGGGGGCGTGGCCGCAACGGTCTCCCCCTCGTGTGGTACACCCGCCGCAGAATCTGAAGCACGGGGTCGTAGTCAAAATGGACGACCACGAGGCTGGCTTGTGCTCCCTCGCCGGAAGGAGGGAGAATAAGAAAGGAGGCAGGGAGGAGGAGGGAGGAATGGGAGGGTGGAAGAGGGCGGGGGCGGGAGGAGGAGGAGGAGAAGGATGTGGGAAGATTCGAGCCACGGAGCGTCAAGATATTGAGGCGTGAAAGTGGCAGTGTGCCGACATGCCACGAGATCGGTGACTGATTTCCCTTTGACAAATGCTCGACCAACATCACAGCGCACAACAATCACCGTGTCCGCTGTACTCCACAATGTCTGACTACGCATAGTACTCCTGCGGCAAAGGCAAAGGCAAAGGAACCACCGAAGAACGAAACACCAACAGCAGCAGCACAACTACGGCAATGTTTCTAGCCCATCGGTTCCACCTACCCAGCGCAATGCAGGCCAGCAGGCCACGCGACCCCACGACCACCCAACCAGCATACGTACAGCGATGCCTAGCACCAGCCAGGCGGAACACCCCAACTTTTGGGAGCAACAGCCACACGCACCATTTCCAATTCGACCGATCACGCTAGGACTCAAACCACTACAACCGACTACACGCACAGCAGAGCGCGACGACGACATACCGCAACCGATCTTCGGAGCCACAAGCGAGCACGTTGCACACACGACGCGAGAACGCTAAACCGCACCTTCAACATACAAAAAGCGTATCACAAGGACGTTTAGCACCAGGACGAACCAGGTGCTACACCAATCGAAGCCAGGGCCCAGCATGCAACAACAGCGGCTGACCTTTTGCAAGGTCGCCACACAAAGCACAATTGTTGATAGCGGTCGACATTTAAGCAACATGTACGACAACAGGTTGCAGTCGTCAGCCGACAAATGCCAGAGCAAACTCCATCAGCAGAAATCCATCAATGACTACAGCACATGCGCCGACACAACGACAGCCGCTCAGCATGCATCAAGACATTAGAAGCATTGTTCAGAGACGGAACAACAAAGTGACGCCATGTTTAATTACAGACACACACCAATTTCGCAACCAACCCAGCCTACCTACAGCAGACATCACGCACCGAACCCACACGCACGAGCGCAGTTGACCAGCAGAACGGCCTCCACTAGACCCACTCAAGCCGGCCACTTCGAACCCACCCAACCCACAGGACGATCGGCAACCATGCCGGCTCATATTTTGAAAACCGCATGCGAAGGAGAAACGGAAAACGACTGGACCACCACCGAGTTTTGCAACGCACAGCAGAGCAATGACGTGATCGCGCGAAACAGCGCAGCATCAATACTACGCACAGCAAAAGACTCCACGCACCTGTTACAGGCAGCACGTGACTACCACTCCAAAAATTTGCACGGCGTCTGGGATCTCAACCAAGCATTCCGACAGGATGGAACACGACTAGAAGTTTACGCCGAAGCGGCACCGCGAAAAGAATTTGCGATTGTATGCGGCAGAGACGAGACTGCTATGCAACGCGAACAACGGCAGATCCAATTAGAGTAGATTATGGCACAGACCACGATTACCACGCACAAGTACGCGTGTTCCGAGCCAAGAGCGATTGCCACACCGCGACACATCTTTTGCGCCATGCAGCGCGGTCGCAGCTCGCAGCAACCATTCGGTCGCTACGCCAAGAACTACGAGAGCAAATACTCCATTGCGAAATGGAACACCGTCAAATCAACCGTTGGCAGTCTCCTACCACAGTGCGACAAGAAAGAACATGCGACCGAAGAGCGCTTGCAGACGCACTGCGCAGAAACTGCGCCAGCATTTCCGATTATAACCACCATGCCACTTGATTGCCGAACTCAATCTTCTTTGTGGAGCAAGGACTGAGCGCCTAAAGCGCAGAAAGCCGAATGGCTTGCATTGCGGAACGAGGGCCAAAGGGAACTTGGCTTCTTTGACATCGATCATCCGGCATACGTGCAAGGCGCCTTCGACAGCGAGGCCATGGCAGCACGCGGAGCAGTTAACGCCGCGCATTAGTTGCATCGCGCAGAGAGCACCCTGCTGAAGACACGCCAAGACCAAGATGCCGTTCCATTCATCATGGCGAGCGGGAGAGGCCAATGGCACCTGGTCAACCAATGTCACCCGCAACGAACCAGCACGGCAGAACACTGGCAATTACAAGATGGATCACGCATGAGCAACCAGCGGTAACCAGCGCATGACGGCGCCCACATACGGCACGGCGCGGAGGCAGTCTGAAAGGTGACATGCTGCACTGGAAAGAGACCCGTTTTGTCTGCGACGTGCCAGGGGATGACATGGCGATAGGCAGCAAAGCGCACGACTTCTTGGAATTCACCAACGTGCGCCATAGCGAAACAGCGACGTCGACGAAGCTACCCGCATGCAGAAGTAGGGGCATGGGGATCAGCTGCAAGACCAGAAGCAAGCAGGGCAAATTCTACGGCTACATCAAAAGCTGGAGATAACCATGCACAACGGACGACGGCGCGACTACACCGCTAGCTGGCCCACGCAACACCCCGTGCATATTCTTGCGCGTGACAGAGACCCGCCGCGCGAGCGACGCCAGCAACGCGATCGCAGAAATGAGTCACTTGCTCGAGTTGACTCGCCGCAAGGACCACCCTTGCAAGCCCGCCGGAGCATGCGCGGGGCGATCCGCGCCGTGTGCCCAACAACGGCAGACCCCCAATCGAGTGCACTCACCATCGGTAGGTGGGACCGCGACGCGCCAGTTTCCCGCGGCAGCAAGAGACGAGCAGCAACGGCGACGAGTTGCAACATTTTGGAGAGGCGCAACAGGCTGCCGCGCAGCGCAAGGTGACCGTCGCGGCGAGTCCCAGCGATCGACTGCCCCCCGCTCGCCGCCTAGGCATCCGCGGCAACGCGCCGACGGCGGCGGGGCCCGCGGAGATTAAACCGCGACCCGCGGATAATTCACCCCCCCCCCTAATCCTCGCGCCCGTGCGTCCGCGGGAGCGCGCGCTTCTGTCGTCGCAACAGGCGTGCTCGCCGAGCCTAAGTATTTCCTACAATGTTCCCATCGCAGCTCCGGCGTTCATCTCGCGCGCAGCGCCGCGAATATCATGTGCGATCACGTATGCGAGGGCGTCCCAGGCGAAACGCACAGTTCAGAAGGTTTGCAAATTTCGCCGCGATCAGCCACGATGATGTCTCAAGCAAAACTCATTGTTTTTGTGCGAGGCGCTGTTGCGAACGTGCCACTTGCGCGAGGATGTCCCAGGCGAAACGCCCGTCTGCTCGAGCCCCCCCCCCCCGCGAATCGGCATTTCCGGGGGAAGAGTCATTCTCCTTCCTGGGGCCCAGGTTGCATTGTTCAATGGGGGATATTTGCGCCAGCAAAGGGTTGCGGTGGCGCTACTTCCGGACGCGAGGCCGTTGGGGCCAAAAAGTTGGCGGCCGACCAAGCCGCCGGCGGTCCATTCGGGCGCGCGCTCGGGTCGCCGCCGCGTTTTGCGCGAGACAACGGCGCCAGCTGACACGCGGGATTCCAATTTACCCCAACGCGCGAAGCAAGGGTTGTTTCACCCATTAGCGCGTGGAATCTCAGAGCGGGCTCAATGAGATGAACGACGCGGTGAGCACATCACCGCTGCGCAGAGCAGACGCAAGCAGACAACGTTACGTCGCCGCCAGAATCACCCTGAGACATCGCCCGCGATCTACTTCGAGAAGCCCACGGCACTTACCCACGGCTATTCACCAGGTCTGTAAACGCCCAGACTGCACCGTGACCTCTCCCAAATCGACGTACATCTTGCCGCGTGAGCAACGCTGCAAGTTTGCGCGCAACCGCGACAGGGCATCGCGATTCCGTTATCCTACCCAGGCGGGTTGCAACAAAAAACCAAGGCCGACCACGCATGGGCATTTACGGACATGCAAAACGACGAGCGAGCGCCATGTCTCAGCGGCCATGACAAGGGCATCTTTTCACACCGCATCAGCCGCGCCATCAACTACGAGAGCCTCGATGGCACCACCATATTGTTATGCGCCGTCATATCGGCCATCGCACGCGCCGCTCAACAGCTGCATGCACAGATGCAGAAAGTGCAAGCCCCACCGTTCTACAGCACGTGTCTGCCGGCGACGAAATCATTCGAAGTGTCAACATGCCTCACAAGCAAAGCCGACGGACTCACAGTATCGCGCAACCCCAAATTCACTGAAGCTACGACCAGCCGTGGAACGAGCTTACAGACCCCCATGGACGATCGTCGCACGGTTCTCGCACTCCAGCCAGCGCATTGCAGATTGCGATCGGAACACCTGCATTTATCTAATGGCTGCCGCCTCTGCCGCCGACCCCAATTGAGCGACGAATGCTTGATTCGTTTGTTGTCGGGGTGCTTCTCCGAGCGCGGCAGGAAGGGTTCACGTGGGACTCTTGGTTCTCTGTTGCACCTCGGACTCTTCTCCGTCGAATGGCTCTCGGCCCATCCCGCCGCTGTGTCTGGATTGCGGGTGCGAAGCCTGGGATTATTCGCAGGGGTTGCTCGGGGGCCCTCAGGGGGCCTTTTGGATGCAGTTCGAGGCCTCTTGGGGGCAGTTTTGAAGCCTCGCGGGGCCGCTGCTGGGTCTTGAGGGCTTCTTGGAGACTTCTGGGGCGCCGATTGGGGCTTCCTGGGGCGGGGCGCTACGATTTCTGGTTCGCGTTCCTTCTCTGGAGCCACCTTTGGGGCCGTCGCGGGGCCTTCGGGCGCCATCTCGGGCACCTCCTGGGCCGTCTTGGGGCGCGCGGGGGCCGTCTCAGGGCCCTGGGCGGCCCCTCGGGCAGCGCCGGGGCGGCGTTCGGGATCTCGGGGGCGCCGGAGTCTTTCACGCATCGAAGGCAAATCAATGTTTTGTGCCTCTGCAGGTCCTGTTGGGGGCACATTCGAGGTCTTTTGGGGCGCCTTGGGGGTCTCTTGAGCCATCTTGAAGCCGCGCGGGGCGTCTTGGGGCGGTCTTTGGGCGGGCCGGAGCGTTCGGGGCCGTTTTGGGTGTTTTTTTATTGGT